ACGGTGCTAGTACTTCTAATAATTAAATTAGACTAAGCCAAGTAAAACAAGGGGTTGTACCTATAATTAAACAAAATTGATTTTTGCAACATATATTCCTGTAAATATCAGCATAATTTGAAAAAATTTTTTTTGACGATCAAAACACTTAAGCAGAAAAAAATGATACTTAATTTAGAAAGGAATTAAGTTTTCAGAAACTATTCCTTAACAATTTACTGCATAAACTGTATTTACTGATAAATTTCACGATTAAAATGATTTAGTCAAATGCTAATTTTTCACTAAGTTTAACAAAGTTTTAACAAAAATAATATTTAGTTTTTTTAAAACATTATTATTCAAAATTTCATTCACTGTTTGTTGGCTTTATGCTTTACTCTATTCGGTGTCAATTTTTTTGGTAAAGTTTCCTTCTTAGTTTAGTTTAACTAACAACTTTTTTGAGGCTTCTATGCTACTTGGCTTAGTCTGTTTTAAAACTGTACTGCAGATTATTGTAAGACGAGCTTTACATATGAACAAATTTCTATGATACTTGTTATAATTTCTACACAATCACTTTGCATTTTGTTTAATAAACTACGAAAGATTAGTTGCCAAAATAAAGTATAAAACTTTAGCGAACAGGTTACGAATAAAGTTGCTTTTTGAACTGACTGTTGTAAAAACCATTTGTGATTTTGGCTTTTAAGCTGCACCGCAGAAAATAATTTTAAATTTTTGCTCAAACTTGAGAAACGGGAAGAAATAATTATTTAAATTACCGAATATTTGTGGCTATAGTATTTCATTGGTATCCTATTATAGGTATACTATCAATAAATAAGTTTCTAAAAAATCTGTTTGAACCTTAATTTAATATTTAGACAGTAACAAAATTTATAACATTGTTATCTATTTTACAGTGATATAATGTAAAACCAAGTGGCATTAGTGTAAAAAATAGGTAGAAAATTGCCTGATTGATGACTCAAATTTTGATAGTATAAAAAGTGTTTGCTAAAAAAAAAAAAATATTAAGCTTATTGCTTAGGTTTAAGATTAGACTACATCACAGTACTGGTAACACAACAAACTTTTTTTATGCAGTATTTGTTTACTTCTTTACCAACCACTGATAATAGACATTAGCCATCAGTATTATTTCAAAGTTTTCTGCCTTTTTTTTTCTCACAGATTTCTAATGTACATTGTTCTGGTGTAAGCAAATTGTGCAAAATTTCTGCAGTAAAAATTTGCTGTTATGAAGATTCTAGATTTTGCGTTGGAATCTGTGAAACTGAAAGTTGAAAATGCAACAAGTCAGCAATGATATTAGAGTTAAAGTTTTGTTCAAATTTCGTGCTGACAACTTAATGTCGCGGATAAGTTGCATCAAAAAATTTGCTGTAAAAAAAGTTCATAGGTGATATCACACAGATAGGAGTAGGCAGATTCTTAATTCTGCAAGATTCATATAGCAGTATCTTGACAATTTCAGATTCTCTGTGGAATCCTGGTAATGCAGCAACAAGAATAAAAATTTTTCACAGAAGTTTCATATTAATTGTTTCATAAATTTTGGTTTCTGTTGCATTATTCTGTTTCGTCTTGCACAGTATTTGTACTGTAAAAATTTAATTCAAAAATTGTAATAAAATAAATAAAGATAAAAATTCTGAAGAAAAAAGTAGTTTACATTTTTTTTTTACTGAGCAGCAGAAAAGAAAATTGACGAGAAAAGAAAGAAAAAAAACAGTTTTGATTACCTGAAAACATATATATATATATATTTGTTAGAAAGCTAAAAGTATCAACAACAGTAACGGTAAAAGTGTGAGTAACTTTTGTGCAAATGTAAAATATGTTTGATAAATAAAAGTTTTTAAAAAAAAAAAA